TTCACTATCTGGAACAGGACACCGGTTACCAGCATACTGGCTATAATCACTTGCTGCCTCTTACCAGCAGTAGCTCTTAGTTTTTCTGTGAAAAAAAGAAAAAGGTTTCGTGTCTGGAAGTTTTCTTTCCGGGTTTAAAACTTTTTTTTTTTTACTTTTTTTATCATGACCTTAGGGAATTAAAGACTAATCAAGCGAAATATTCTTCTGTGTACAAAAATGGGCCAGGAGCTTTCAGGCAGCGAGGGGGAGAGCGAGGGTAAAAACATTCCACAAAAGATTCTTTTTTAGATTAGAGAAATGAGCAAATCGCTTCGCCACTAGTTGTCCACTGTTGTAAACGGATGTCTCTCCACGGCTCCCCCCCCCCCCCCCCCCCCCCCCCCGCTGTGCACTTCTGCTGCACAAAGCAGGGGGGGGGGGGGAGAGGAGGCTGTAACGCAGTCGTTCTTCAAGCCTTGTGGGTGGCGACACTATAAAAAAAAGGAGGATGAACGGAATTAGCTGGTAGCCGAAGGTTTTTTTCGCCTTCGAGAAGTGAGCTTTCTTTTTAACTTTGCTGTGACGGATGCTGGTTCCGTGCAGCGATAAGCTGGTGCAGGATTTCTCGAGTTTTGGTCAGAAGTAACGAGTAACGAGTAACGAAATTTGACAGCCAATACCGTAAAAAAGTAACGGAAATACTTTACTCGTTAGTCATTCAGAATACTAACGAGTACGTTACTGCGTTAGCGAAAGATGTAACGCGTTACCAGTAACGTCGTTACTAGTAACGCGTTACCTCCAACACTGTGGATGATTGACTACACCTGTGAGTACTGTGCTTTGGCTCTGTTTCCGAGCGCCTGTAAGACCCCGTAATGTGCGTAAAATACGATGAAAAGTGAATATAAAACAATAAAGTTAAGAATGTGTTCTAGTTTTCCTTTTTGCATCACGACTTATGATGACCAGTTACTTGTTTTGTAGTATTTTTAATGCAGATGACACCGAGTGAAACACAATTTTAAGGACGACTGAGACCTGCGGACTTTTTTGTGTTTATAGAAATAAATACAAGAAAGAGCGCGGTCTAAGGGAGAGATTATAAAAATCCGATTCGCGCTAGCGAATCGGTAGCGGGACTGATATTTTTCAGGCATGACTGAATTAGAACCGAACCGAAAGAAAATTCAAAGCCGCTGAACCCGAACCCGAACCAAACCGGATAAAAATTCCGACACAATTCGGGGGCTTGTGTTAGATTCGTTTCATCGATGTTTGTCCTATTACTTCTTTCTAGCTGAGTTGTATCATCTTCCGGTTGACAATGACGCAAATGGCACCAGGTCATGATGGTTGACGCCGTAGTTTCAATATGAACCAACTTGCTGTTTTCTTTCAACATGCTCAGTTGTCAATCATATAGCGCGTCTAATCGTCCAAATCGCAAAAACGAAAAAAAAAGAAAAAAAGAAAAAAAAAACGTGTCACAAGGGTAAACACTTTTTATATAAACACCTGGGGTGCGCCATCGTTCGGTTTGGAGTCGTGTTCAATCAATGAGAACACGAGTATGTGTACCATAAACACGATGACGCGGCACTCCTGCACAATCTGTGCTCGTGCCAGCCTCCGGGGCATAGATTGAACATGAGTGCGACGTAATTTTGGGGAGTGTTGTTCATGTGCATGATTTGCATGATGCTGCCTTACAAGGCTGAAGACTGATTGACTTAATAAAAAAAACGCTTTACTGTCAAAAACAAAACGTGTCTTTTCTTTACAAGCATCTTATTGCACGCCGTTTTCAACTAGCAACAGAATAATTTAAGTGTACAACCGGGGCTGAGTAAACAATCAAGCTTACTGTTCTAAACTCCTAAACACACAAACCCTTTAAACCATTTCTCTCGGTGGGCCTAGCTAAAGTAAAAGAGGATACCAGAACATAGCGACCGTTATTTAAGCATATTTTTCCATTATGATCACGCTTGAAAACCGATGCTGTTTCAGAATAGGCGCTTCCTCGAATAAACGCCGTTGTTCGATATTAAAACATTGGCGGATTTGTTTCGAAAGACGTACTCTAAGCTACGCAGTGAAAAATACCAAGCCGCCTTTAGATTTTATTTTGTTAATAAAAACTTCAAAGTTAAGAGACTAAATTGATATTTCAGAAAAGCACGTTCTACTATACGATTACATATTCTTGAAGGTTAATCACTGTTTAAACATAACACTGGAAAGCGGTGACTACACTTTATGAATTGGCATTAATATAGTGAGCGTCACATTAAAATTACAACACAATTATTATATTTTACCTGCGCAGCACATGAGATCAACTGCAGTTACCATAACACGTCAGAGATAAAAGCCCTTCTCAGAGTTGTGAATGAGAAAGCATGCCGGCTGGGATGTATTGCTCCCGGCTCGCGGTGTCAGAGGGCCTCGTCCTCTTGCCGCCTGAGACCCTTTGAATCGCGATCCTCTTGTGCCATACGCTTTCAAAAGGCTTTGTTCTGTCTCGTAGCTCGTTGCACCGCTGATCGCTCAACCCGCCGTGTATTCGGAGAGTTGACAACGATTGTGCATTTCGCCGCCCGTTCCCTCGCCCGTTGTGCTGCGTAATTCCGCTCTCGTAGTTTGCGCTGTACTTGCGTGGGAGGGCAGGTTTCGGAACTGCCGAGGTTGTGGCCGCCCACGATGTGGATGTTTGAGGCGCCACCATGTTCTTCGGCGTCGAGAGGAGCAGAAGTGGCCGATCGCGCGCCACCGTGTTCCTGTTACCGGCGCGCTGCCGGCGCGGGACTCGCAGCGCCATGGGGTGGCGTCCCTTCAAACTATGACGCGTGCAAACCAGTGCGAGCCTCGTTCTTTGAAACTATGACTCGCGTCAGCCAATGGGAGCCTGTCCATCAAATCGCTGCTACAGACTACTGGCTTCGTTCTATTGGGACAGGGGAATTTAGGGGCCGTTTGACGCGCAGCTTCAAAAGCTGATAATGTCGGTTCGCTCCTTGGGACCAGTTAACGCTTTCGCATTAAAACGGCACGACAAAAACAATTATAATCAAAATTTCAGTTGAATTTCTCTTTGGACATCCGTACTTCTTGAAAGATGCGTTGTTACAAGTCTGATATCTCATGTTTCATACACTAGTCTATTGCTGCAAAGCGCTACTTTTCTTCTTGGTGCACACCTACCCAGTACAGGCTTACCAAGGTACATTGAATTTAGCTTCCCGCTTAACACAAGATTACCAGGGCCTTAACAAGTTCGGAAAAATAAAACTGCATATCATTAAACATTTACAAGATGACCCAATTCTTTATTCTCAGGAAACGCGACAGCATGACCTTTGGAAACTCAATGTAGGTCCGCCTTTGGGAAACGCTAAAGCTGACCCTTTCACTTTTTGTTTTGTTTTTCTTTTGCTTCCTCTATAATTTGCTGCCTCTTTTTGGCCTCCTTACGTTGCCGGTTTTAGCGCTTCCTAGAGCTGGGCGTGTGTGGCAATTCCCAAGGGCCATGAGAACGTGTTCTCTAAAAATCCACCAATGCATCTTCATGTAATTTTTTCACCCCTTTTCTGTACTCTGCCTGTCATAGTACGCCGACGTCCTTGAATACGGTCATACATTTCACGCTTGGAAAGAACAGCATTTATACCACTCCTTGAAGGAACAGCATCCGTATCAATCGAGGAGGGAACCAAAATGATTGATTTAATTACACACACACGTCACCGCCCATGCACCTCTACTAGGGAAACCCAGAGTGAAGAACAACCGGCGAGGGCAGAGAGGCAACTGATTACGCCCGCACTCTACCGCGCTGCGGCGCAACACCTATAATAGATAACAAAGCCTTAGTGGTGAATGAGATGGCGTCATCAGAGAACGCCAAAGCTGGGTGCAGATTGGACACGAGGATTGCTTCAACGTCCGGCTCAACCTTGACTCGAAGCCGAGCGCTGACGCAGCACTCGTTCCCAATCTGTGTCGAGCGTTGGGCGTTGGGTGTCCAGCGTCTGATGACGTCATCTCATTCAGATTTACGGCTTTGTTATCTATGAGGTGTTGCGCGGCGCCTCGTCCTCTCTGGCTTCGTGCCAGCTGCTCGCGTGACTTTGACGAAAACGAAAGGACTCGTTTTGGCACAAACCCGGCGGTGTCTGTCAGTTTGCCAAAGCCGGGGAGACAGGGAGAGGTTGACGCGTGGCTAACGACACCGCTTTGGGCCAATGGGAGCGTCGTACGCGTTATCCTCTCCCTCTTCGGCGCCGACAAACGAAGGACACCACCGGGTTTGCGTGAAAACGAGCGTTCTAATGCCTACGCATTAAAAACATATTTTATATGGCGAGCAAGCTTTTTTTTTCAATGTTTGTTTTGCGCATTAAAACTCAAGGAGGTACGTTCAAGTTTAGCATTAAGAACGCACAAGCAACGCGCGATGACCCGGGAACCAAACGCACGCCATCATTTGTGTAGGCAGGGAAGATACAAAATAACCTAAACCGATCTGCCGGGTAAACGACCGTACGAGGTATGCAAACAACATCCTAACTTGGACGCCATTTCTACCCCAAATATGAGTCTGCGCAAAGTTACTCAGCCTAATAGTTACGTTTTCGGATTCACAGCACAATTTCTGCTAGGCGTCAAATGTTACATACGCCTTCTGACTCGCTGATCTGCTTCCATTCAATACCATAGTTAGCTTCCGTGTGCGCAGTGACGGAGTAGTTGAGTGACCTCTTAGCATGAAAACTTTTGGGTTATTTGCGACAATTTCTGGTTAATGGTTTATTAATAAATGTATTCTAACAGGCTACGATTCACGTCGTGATTGCGTACACAATTTGATTATGATATCGAAGAAACTTATATGGTGTGATCATTCTTCACATTCAAATAGAATGCAACATTCCTCACGCTTGTCCCTCGCTCAAGTAAATCTTTCCTTGGAGGTCGATGTGCACACTTTTCATTGATGTAGTTTTTAATTTCAGGGACCTCTCTGGAAACACATTTTTGGAACTGGAAACGATGACATTCCCTCTAATGCCAGACATGAAAGTCTTGTGAGTATTTTGTGCGCTTATATGTTTATGTGCGCTTTCCATATTATACGTCTACAATAGCTTGATGACACTTTTGTTAAGGTCGCACAAAAATGAACCTATAATGTGCATCCTTCAAAAGCGTACGCTAATCATCAGCAAAATAATGCTAAACAAAATTTGCAATTATTGTTGATCAAGGATTTATGCACTCAAAAGAATTTCTGTGAAAGGATGGTATATATGTTCAATGACATACGCCCATATAGATGGTGTTTATTATTAAGCTGAACATACTTGTTTAAAAAAAGCTGTGAAAGCTACACAAACCTCGTTTGTGCAGGTGAGTTATACGGTAAGGGGGATATACTGTAGAGGGCTAATCGTAACTAAAGCTCGAATAATAAACACAAATTTGTCCATTAGCCTTTTTAATTAGTAAAAATAGACGTCTGGTTCGATTAGAAACTTACTGAGCGTCCCAGAAAGTCACGAAATTGGTAATTTTTAGAAATAACTTGAGCCCTTGGGAAGCACACTAGTTTTTTATTGTTACCCCTCGTGCAACAAGCACAATGGCAGGTGAAATTGTTTTATTGTGTTGGCTAGCGTAACCCTGCTCTTTTAAACCTCGTTATTTTTGAATGGGCTACAACTAAAACTAATCCCCCGAAAATATTTTAGTGCTGAAAAATGCATTAGGAATCATATCTAATTTGTTCATGATGTTCATGCCGGATTTTCCACATCCGGCCACCTCTTTGCCAAAACAATTTTCTGTTTCAGAATGAAAGTGCTGTTTGTTTGTAGGATTTTACTCAGTGTCAAATTGGTTTTCGTGTTGGGGTTCAAAGGTAAATTTTGCCGAAATTCCCAGTATTGTGCGTACCGATGCACTACACGATTGCGAGAAGCTGTGGATCATCTCGCACAAATGATCGTGTTTTGTTTTCCGCTTCATGCAGATGTCTGTCGCTACCGTCGTACTGTTGCGGACACTATGAGCTATAACACGGTAGACGTGGCCGTTCTGTACCCCCAGCGTCGTATACCGGACGCACTCCGAAACACCGCGCGTACTCGCGCCTACTCTGTGCTGCGCAATTACTCTTGAAGGGGCTCTCACCTGGGGCCCTACTCTGGACACTTGGCAAAGAAGTCGGCGAGAAATTCGGTGGTTTTGATGGGCCGACGCCAAGATCAAGTGCGGTGCTGGTCAATCACAACCGCCGAATTTCTCGCCGAACATTTCGCCAAGTGTGCAGATTAGGTCCACAGGTTGCTACGCACGCTCTCTTTCTCTCTCTGCTTCGTTACAATAGCTGACAACACGATAGGCCTAAAGTAGGCACCGCCACAGCACTTCGACGATGTCGGTTTCACAGGCTTTTGTGGGTGCCTCCTTTGGTAATAAAATTCCTGGACTCGTGGAAACAAATCGGCCAAACAAGCAACCAAAGGGGACATTCTGAGTTAAGAATAATCGCTTCCAATTATTGTGCACAGATCTCAGTAGATTGCTTTTATAATTCGTACGCATGTGCATGCTTTTTGTTCTCCTGTGTCAGAAATGCTAGTCTAATTGCGTTTAGATCGGTATGTCTCATTCATTAAATGTTTGGCTGATTAGTCTCCGAGAGTCATGGAATCTCCGTACCGAAAAAGGCGCCCACAAAGGCTTACGAAGCAAACATCGGCAGATGCTGTGGCGGCGTTTTTTTTTTTTTCTTCTTTGCGCCTAGAAACGACAAGGAGAGAATATTATTGCAATTCCGCCCCACAGGATAGACAGGGAGGGCGCGATGTTACCGAGTGTCCCTACTATGTGGCGTTGGGGTACGGAGCAGCCACGACTGCCTTGTTAGCTGATTGTGCCCGTGATAGTACATGGACGGCGATGTGATCCTGTCTTGTTGAGGAAACGCAGCCGTCTCGATGATACAGCGTTGGACATCATGTATAAAATGTGGGTCGATAAGGCTTTCAGCAACAAAATGTGATGCATAGTGTGGCAAGGCAAGCGGTTTTTGTTAGCATATTAATTTATTTAATTAATAATATGTTAAATACAGCCTTTTATTTTGTTTATATTTAATTGGGTGTATTAATGCAAGAATATGTGCTCTTTATAATCACTGGCCGTAGTAAAATCACGAGATATTAATTATTTAAATGCAACTTTCCCAGTAACGCACATTGCCCAAAAAGGACAGGGTATGACAGTTCCTCACGAATTCACACATTGGATGTCTTCCTATACGATTATTCTTAACCTGCAGTTTTGTTATTTTAGGAGCATTCGCTCGCACACTCTGCGCGTTTCTTGGCTGACACACAAATTCACGCAGCAGCCTTTGATAGCGCTTCATTACATTACGTCGTTATAATACTACGAGTTACGTATCCGTTCCTTTTAGGCCGCGTGTCAAACTAATCACTGAATTGACCGTAGTGCCGACGTGGTTCGTACGAAGCACGAATGAAGGCCCATTAACATATATTAGTAGCGTGCGCCTACGTTTTCAAACCTTGCGTTGAGTTTCGAACGAAGCCACCGGAACGTCCCTATGAAGTATGCACTTTGCACGCGACATACGAAACACTCATGTCCTGGCCACTTGCCATCGTTAATGCTCATAGTCAAGCACAACCGCTCCAATATGTCTTCACTCGCGGTCCTACATCGACGGGAAACAATAGAACCCTCAATAACCTAGTTAAATGCTACGCCGTCTCGGGCCAGACTACTTAGGGATACCAACGCCGATCTCCATTGATATCCTTGCATTTGATGGGTCGAACGGCTCGAAGAGCTTGAGACCTCATGGACCGGTTCGCATTTTTCTGACACGAGCTGGAACAGTCAGAGGCAAACTCCAATAAGATGCGCTCGCTATCGTGCGTTTCCTATGGGGAGAACCACAGCACCCAACATACGAAACTGATTATGGCAACCGGAAGCCAGCATGCTTTCTTGTGCTGTTTACATTGAAGATGGGTCTATATTAATATTATGACTTTAGACTCAGCGTGAAATAAAAGAAAATAATTTTTAATAAATAGTTAATTAGTTAATCAAACTATTAGTTTAATAATTAATTGGCCAACTTGCCGTGAAGATTATATCATTACGTAATGTCCGGTGACCTTGATAAAAAACATGTTTAAGACGTCACTCTACCTTTCAGCCCTGTTTTCGATCTATTCGAAACAACATAAAACATCCTGTATATTTTTTGCATTGTGCCTTTCGCAAGGGCTGGTTTATTAGTAATATATAGATAGGAAATGACCATCTGTTTCTTAATTGATTCTGGTTTCAGCATGCTCAATCTTTATTTAAAATGTTCTCAATATTTTTTTTCAGGGTTGATATTAGCGTTTTTAATAAATGAAACGCAGAGGGGTTAGCCTGGGCGTTTCTCCTAGCTGGCTACTACGCACTGTGGTTCAGGGAAGGAGGAAAAGAAAGATGTAGTCATAAGAGGACACAAGTAAATCATTAAGATGTGGATGCAAAGGGGGATACGGGTGATGTCGAAATTACTTTCAGTGGCACAAAATACAGATTATTTAATATTTAGGACCATTGTTAGAGCCCTTGATGCTTTGGCAGTTTGGTCCATCGTGTTCCAGACGCCAACTACCTTGGATATATTAAATAGACGGTCGTCTATTTGTCGCAGAGTTTCTTGCGAACCTGTCGTTCGTTATGATTATTTGGACACTCACATAGGATGCGCTCTATTGATACTTCTACACCACAGCTTATACAGCCACCAGACTCTCTGCTGCTGATAATTTGAATAGTATGAGTAGTATATTCCACGCCTAGACTTAGGCGATGCAATGTCGCTTCTTCTCTTGGCAGTGCAGATGGTGAACGGAAAGTTAGTTGAGGGTCAAGGGCGTGCAGTAAAACATAATGATAGCTTTAGTAGGACCAGTACTGTTTTGAGAGTGTCTTCCCAATGTGGCGACCGAGAGCATTAATATCGGCCTGACTGTAGGGTATGGCTTTTACGCTATTACTGACGGTACACCTTGCAGCGTCATAAGGGGGCTTCGTACCTGGGTATTCCGCAGTGCCAACGTATCCACTCAAAATTTATTTTATTTCCGTACTGCTGCGCTTCGTGGTACAGTTTGCATCCATATTTTATATGCATGGTGCTCGTAAGACCTTTGCTTCATCAAATATCTAATTATTTAAAGCGCAGGCTTGGAGTCACTAACAATTGACCAGTCTTGTGGTAACTGAGACACTAAATATCTCAACGCCTCTCTAGTGGCTGCAGTTTCCAAAATCACTGACGCAGTTGTATGTTCCACCTTATGTGCGGACAGGCGGCCGTGAGCGGGTATAGCTCTAAAGAGTCGTTCAACATTTAAAAAAAAAGTTGTATATGGATTTTTTCCCTCCTTCGTCCCCTCGCTTGTTTGCTCACCGCGTCAGTACGCTATGTCGTCTGCATAATATATTTGTCGTAGAATATATTCACGTTTCTTAGAGATCTAAGAGAGAGAGAGAGAGTGATTATAAGTCTATAAAATGACTCCTTTAATTAAATGTACATTGACAGGTAATATTGTTCATTTCTAGATTGTTGTCGTACTCTCAAGTCACATACATCGGAGAAGATGCATTCAAGAACATACCGAAACTGAGGGAACTGTAAGTTGACTCTTACCTGAAAAATTATGAAAATGCTGTAGATTCCCCTTAACAGTTTACAATTTCATGAGCAAAATCTTTCAAGTAAACTTTCCCGCACTTACGAAGTACTAAATTGAAGTCACCATCTCCAGAATCGTGAGCATGAGATTCAGGTCTTCCCGATTCAGCTAGCCCAGGTCACCTTGTCAGGACCGGATGTCATTGGTGCCTGACTGTTTTTTGCAGTCCTTCCCTAACTCGAATAATTGGGTACTGGAAATTCAACTAGAAAGTTGATTGACAGAAGTTATTCAAGAACAAACCCTACTATATGTGGGAAGTTATAGTAATGGTACGGTGTATTACTTAGAAACTTTATTTTGTTTATAAATCGCCATATAGAAATATTTAAATATAAACATATGTAGTTTTGACCACGCAGAATTCTTGCTTAAAATATATTGTTTTTCGCTGACTAAAATCAAGTTAGGATCATTCAAGTTTATTTTATTTCATCTAAAGACAGGCTTGAAATATGTCATATGTCAATATATATGAATATACAGCTTGGCATAACCAATCAAAACCCCTTACAACTGAACTAATTTTTGGATTTGAGCATACTGCTTTGTTCATGGAAACTATCGGCACTGCTATTTTGTATCATCATCATCATCATTATATTAACTTTGTTCCTGTGCCCATACACAATAATCGACTTTAATTTGCATGGACCTTGAGTTTGCAAAGTGAAGTGTCATTGGATTGCGCTCGTCACATGCATGAGTTTGCGTATATGCTTTTTCTATATACGTCTTTCGGCCAAATTCCAATAAATAGAAATTTAACTGATTGTAGTATAAATTAAAGCATATAAAAATAGTCCACTTTGTTAACAACACCCTGTCTAAGAAATGTTATGGCGTATCTTTTCCACAGGTTCCTTGTCGCAAACAGTATTCGCAACCTCTCTGCGGGCACGTTCAGGAGCAGCAGAGACCTTGAAAGAATGTAGGTGTACAAAACTCTAAGGCTTCATAAATATTTCGGAAAACGATTTCTTGAACGACTACAAGAGGAATTGGGGAACGGTACAGAATAATGATGTGGGTGGGCGCGTAGTGAATACATAACATGATGTCGCTTTTTGCTTCACTCCCAATTTTGGAACATAACAATGAAAGAAAACACAGAGGCAAGTTTTTCATTCCGCTTAGCTCAGTATAACTCGGCGCGTGCGTGTCTGTGCGCACATAATATTCAGAACAAAGGGCGAACTCCGCCTTAGTATTCTGACTTCGTCTGGTATTCCGAGAAGAATATGGGATTTCGCTCAAATCTGAGATGGGGCACATATATCGCATTTAGGTTATGAGCCACTCATTGTCAGGAGACGCACGATTTGCATTCCCGGAAGTTTGCAAAAAAGTAATTGATCTTATTTTAGCATAGGGATCACGCAGCTGAAACGAAGCTGCGGGGTTGATATGTTTTTTAAGTCATTATGTTTCTAGTCACGTGGAGGAAGTCACAAATAAGAAACATGGGTTTAGACACGTTTTACGCGCCTTTAAGGAGGCTTGTACTGACAAAGATATGCACAATGGCGGCAGGGCTCCTAATGTTACTCGGAGGAGTTCTGCCATTTTATAAGAGTGTCCTGATTTGATAATGCCCGAGCTTCCTACGACCGCTCCAAGATAATATCCTCCAGCGAATATAGCGGAAACCTGCGTGTACAGGGTCCGCACTTCTGCTGTATTCAAAATGATATGTTAGCGGGCACGCGCCAAATAATTATCTACGAACTCGCGCTTTGAGACCCCTCACTGTTATGTTTCGCCTTCTAAAACTTGAAGAGTTGACAACGCTAAAAGTGACCCTGCATACAAAATGTGGCTTGCGGCGCCTCTTGTGCATCTTAATCTGGGGCCTATAGTGTGAAAAAACATCGTTAGAAGGTTTCCTTAATTGTCAATTGCTTTGAATGTATTTTAACATTAACCGTTGTATAATAATATTTACCACAGGATTCTGTCTCACAACCCTATCTCCGACATTTCACCGGACGCTTTTGAAGGCCTGCAGCACCTGACAACCCTGTGAGTACATTATTCAAAACGGCTTACTCGCTGTGGTATACTTGTATTAAAAAAAAAAAGAAAATGAGCACACTTTAAAATATTGAGGCACGTGACAGAGGAATCTGATACATTATCTAATATTCGTGTGTGTTTTGACGCGCAATATGATGAACCAATCGTTGAATCATTTTCTGACGCAGGGAATTTTTAGAATTTCAATTAGTCACTTCCCAGAGATATCATGCATGCCTTTATTTTTAACGATACCAAATGTAGTTTAAGAAATTCAAAGTTACTCTTATATCTCAGCAACATGAGTTAATGTTTTTATTGTGAAGTTCACATTTCCTTTTGAAGTGTTAGATCATGTTTCCAGAAACTCTTTTTATACTTGTGAATCGCCTATTAATTAAGTAGTCAAAAACACATGGCATTTTGTTTTTCTCCTATCACTTTCAGAACATTAGTGCATGGACAGACTATGTGGTATAAACATAAGTAACCTATTATTCAATGTCGCCTTTCAGTACCTTTGAGCTTCCTTGAAATTATTGTCTTGTAGAGAAAGATTGCACCAGGAATGCGCGCACTTCCTTTGTTAATATCATTGCTCTTGTAACTGCTACGGAAGTGAATCCAATAATATGGTGCATTCGGCGTCTTTGCCGCGATACCTGAACTATACACACATTGCGTTGAAGCAAGACTGACAATTTCACAAAACAAGAATATCCGTGGATCTAATTTACGTTTCACAAAATTTCAATAAACCTGCAGCCTTATTGAGAACATATAATATGTACCTTAAACGAATACGATAAAATTACGAAAATGATTACTTTAGCGACACTAAGTTTTTTCCTGCATCCTTATCATTATTGCGTTTTTGATAGAGTTTGGGCAACTGAACGCAATTATCTTAGTGCGTTTATTCACACGTTTTTCATACTTTGTCACCTGCTCGTGAGCAAACTTCACATGTCTGACTTTCACCCGAGAGGCGCGTTTGTGTCCTAACATTTTAATGAACGAAAAGATAGTGACGACGTACAAAGCACCAATATAGGTTGCACACGAAAAGTTTTGAAGAGAACAGACCATAATAGTTACGATGCGTCACAGGAAAAAAAAAACGTCAAGCGCCAAACGGCATTTTTTGAACATATTATTTTTGTGTGTCGTTCGTTCGCAAGCCTCGAAGTAACCATAATTCATACGCACATATGTGCCACGTGGAACTAGATGACGTGACGACGGCCTTAGACACTGCAAAAGAGATTCGAGCGTGTATGAAGTGAGTAAGTTTCGAATAAACTCATTTCGTATGCACCAGAGGCATAGTAAGATATATTAAGAATTTCCATTTTATGCCGAAGAACAACCTAGTGCGGAAGGCTCAAAAGCACTGTTTGTATTATTTGCAGTGATCTTCGCAACTGTGCAATCAAGCGTTTGCATCCGGATCTCTTCAAACATTTCGAAGAACTGACGGAGTTGTAAGTTGAATTAATATCAAGCAGCTATTCTTTTCTGCTTCGCCGCGGCACGAATCTGTTTACACTTTTCGTTACCACGTATGAATGACGTGCGACTCTAACGCGAGCCCACCTGCTAGGAATTATATTGACACAATAACCGCCTTACCAAATAGGGATGAAGGCAATCTGCTGAACAGTTTCATTAATATAAATTCGAACTACAATGTTGACTTTTATCACATTTATAAAGTTTTGCCGAACGCCCAGCCCCCCTCTAAATGTAACGCTAGTAGAGCAGAGCCAAATGTAAAGTTTTAAGGCTTGAGATTAGCTGATTCAAAAGTTATAAGCGATTTTCTGAAGCATCCAATGGGAAAACGAAGCCCGTTCCCAAAACCTGTCGCCATTAATCTCCATGTTGTTCCCGGGCTTCGTCGGTCCTCACTTTCCCACTGAAAATGTCAGAAAATTTATTAGAACTTTTGAACATACAAAGACAGCCTTCGACACTTTGCCATTCGGTCCAGAGCGCTAGTTCTATATATTGCCATAGACGCAGCGTTTCATGATGCGTTTATGGATTTGACATGAAACCAAAATCTCAAATTTTTTTTGGGGTGGCGCTCTCTACTAAGCGTTTAAAAAAATACGTAGTGTACAAAGAATAAACTGCAATCTTACACAGCGATGGCTGTTCTCACTCGCGACACTGTCAGTGCCAAACACGACATAGGAGCTTTTTTTTATTTTTTACCTAAATTCAACATAGACCAATATTAAAATTTACCGCAGGTTACTGTCCTCGAGGGGAACATTAAGTGCCATTATCAGTTTTCATGGTAACCCTTTAATTTTCACGAAATACCCACAAATAACGGCGATACCACAATTGCGCTAACAGTGCCACGTAGATTGTTGGTATGACCAAACAAAACATGTAGATTGTTGGAATAATAAAAACAAAAGTTTGTTCGGAGCGAGGTTGGCGTGGTATACGAGACTCATTTGTATTTAGGTAAGTGTACGTCATACAAACATAGGGCATGCGAATGTTGAAGAATGGAAGCGCTCCGTCTCGATTTTGTCGCCGCCGTCAGTAAATGTGGCTGCCTGATCATGGCGACAAATTCGCGAGCTGCTTCACTCTTCGATGAAACGGAATTTTTGGCGCGACACAGGCAACATTTGACTAGAAAAAAAAATGTGGAATGGTATTTCTTTATCTAGACCAAAATATGAAGAGTGCGGTTGCACGCTTTCAGTTGCCGTTTTTTATAATAAAGTTGCGTTCAAAAGTGTGTTTGACAGGTTTGTAACTATACAAAGCCGTTAATTTCTGTCTTGATGTGCAACTTCAGCGTACATATTGTTTCCAATTAAAGAAAGATTCATTGGTGCATAACCTCTGGGAAACGCCACACACGTCCCGATTTGGGAAACGCTGGAGCCGTCTTCACTTTTCTGTTTTGGCTTCCTCTTTTGATTTTCTTCAAAATCCTCTATTGTTTGCTGCCTATTTTTGGCTTCGTTACGGGATCAGTGTTAGCGTTTCCCAAAAGTGCGTGGCAATTCAAGGGGTCGTGCTAACGCATTTCATAAGGATCCACCAATGAATCTTCCTTTAATTCTTGTAGCACAGACCGAGGCATACGCGTTCCGCACAACTGCAAGTTCAGACTCGCTCCAGCATCCGCGCGTGCATTGGCTTCCGCGTCGTCACGTCGCCTCCCTCTCTGCTCGTCGCTCCGTGCGCTCATTGGCTTCCTCCTCGTGGCGTCGCCTCCCTCTCGCCTTTCTCCTTCACTACACTCCTCCTCTCTATGCGGCGTGCTTCCCTTTCCAATGTTCTGTCCACAAACAGACGCCGTCAGCTTATCCCTGTCATCTGGGTAAAGCAAGATCGCTCTGTCTTTGCGCATAAAATTCCTAATCCCTTGAGTTTTTTTTTGGAAGGAGGGGGGGGGGGGGGGTTGGTACGATTTTAGTATTCTATAGTTTAATGACATCCAACTAACCTAACCTTCTACCTTACCTATCTAAGTACCTACAAAGAGAGTGAACCCTACTTACCTGCTTAAGTACCTACTAAGAGAGTGAAGCATATTCTTTTATTTAGGAAAAATGAATGTTTTGAATTGCAGAATGTAGTTTAGCTGCTTAAATACGGATTTTGTGAAAAGAGGTCAGGCGAAGGCGCAACAATAGGCTATCAGCGTGTTGCTACAAGTTTAGAAACTTTTGGTATAAATCTTATTTCTTGTTTTTTAAACTATTTTGGGTGCTTTCTATTTGAGCTTCACATTACAGATATCGCGTACATGTGTCCGACAGGCCTACCATGACTTCTATGCCACATAAAGCTGGTGCGCACTTATCATAAAATATTTTTCACTGTACTTTCTGCTAGTACCTCCTCCTATACAGTAGCACTAACACCATTATCTGACGGCGTTAGTTAGGCTTCATGAAATTTAAAGCACAACACCGCCTTTACATTATATTCCTGTTCTCGAACGTTAGAGGCAACCTGTCAGCACCGAGCTCCTCTAATCTCCTGGTATCCGTCTAGCGGTCACAGAAAAAAGCAACATATATTTGTATTAATTCATTATTCCGACGTCTTGAATCACCGGTGAGAGCGGGGAGGAGGGGGGGGGGGGAAGGGGGTGTGCAGAATGTCAGCACACTTAACTCACAAAACCCCATCACCTTTCTATACTCCTCAATGAAGAACGATATAGTGAAGAACTAAAGGACTGGACAATCTTTTCAACCAAATAAACACAGTTTTTAATGAACGTCAAAACAAGCCTTAACCAAAGCAATTCAAACATATAAGAATATAACTAGAAAGAAGCATAAGACAAACAATTATTATTTGCATTAAGAGTGAACCCATAGAGACACGTATCTCACATAACAATAGTTAGAAGCTTTCAACTCATAGATATAACAATATAAATCATGAATACACACCGTCACAACAGGTAATCAACTATTCAACGAAGATTTGTGTAATGCAATGTATTTAAAATTAAACAAGCAGCTACAAAATGTAGTACTCAGCGAATGGCAAAAAGCCGTTCTTCATGGTATTCATGTAGCAAAAAAGTAAAGTAATAATTTTTTTCATATTTTTATTATATCGAGTTTATTGCTTCAAGGGGCTCACAGTAGTAATTCAGTACGCCTTAAAGTCACACCTATCGTCTCCGCTGGAGGTTCGATTCCGCCAGTTCACTATGATAACTAGCATGGGGTCGTGCATCACTCTAATTATGGTTGCACTAATGCGCGCCTGCACAAAGCCTCTCAATAATGAAACCGACAGGGGATGGTCTTGGAGCTTTAATCCATCGGCCTGCATACCGGACTTCTGCTCCTCGTTGAGTTGAGGTTTAGTTTGTGCGCACAATGCACCAACTACTGTATTCCTATACTCAATCAGCCAAACTGTGCTGTTTTTCAAGAACTCAAATATAAGGCTTTAGTTGTGCTGCTACGCATTCGAAATCCAGCAATATCCATACTTCTTTTCGTCATGAGTAAAAACGCAGTCAAAAGCTGGAAGACGTACACACGCGGGCACACATACGCATGGTCACGGTGGTTTCACTACACTTCATTAGTTAAACCGATTATAGCAGACAAACCAGAAGATAACATTTGTCCATAACTTTAGACTTTTTTTTTTTACTTCTTGACTGGCCCAACAATTTGTAGCTTCTGCTGCGTTTTCTTTTAACGTAAAAAAAAAGTACTGAGGCGGACATTCAGTGCTGCGTATTATGCGGTCAAAAGCTATTAAAAGTGTAACGCATTATGCAATTACACTTCCAGCTAATGAGACGACTTCTGAAGACCGCAAATGTAGTAGTTCGAACACTGCACTGCACATTGATTATGAGCAATTTGTGCGCACGGACGCATATATTTGGTTTGTCCGTGCATTAGTTTTCAGACTTCAGACAACTAGTAGAGTGTACGTATTCGGACAGCGGGCAACACATTTATGTGTGAAATTGTGTGAGAGAAGTCGAATATAAAAAAAGAAAGGATGATTAATATGTTTGACGTAATCGCGTTGCTAGCGATCCTTTTCAATCACACCCTGACATCGACCTTTTCAACGTTAACTAAAAGAAATAATTTCTTTGTTTGAAGCCTTTTCAAACTAATGTTTTATTCCTCCTCACACATTATACATGGTGATGTTTAACATTTGTTACTTTATATAAATTTCGGAAAGTACAAACACTGTTCACTCTACAAAAGAAAGCCATGATTACCGTCCTTCCACGATGTGAAAACAGTTTAACGTCTGACTTGTCATCACTTAAGCAATAGGATATCGAGGCAGGCTATAACACCTCGCGAAAGTGAAGTCGAGAGGATGTCTTAAATACAAAACACAACAAGAAAGGGTGAAGAAGGATTATATTCCCGGAGGTTTACTAATGCCGGAGAGAATCGATCGTCTCCTCCATGTTGCGGGTAATCAATAGTGCAGAGTGCTCTATAGCCTGTAGTAAGTGAAGAAAGGCAGTAAAAGCTCTCCGACCACACACACGCACGCACTCTCTTTCCACTTCGGCAGATCGAAAATTGCAGAGGAGGCTAATAGAAAGAAGGAAACCAGCAATCATGGCTCACTGAGAGGTTTTGTTTTTCTTTTTAAACCTGCATTCTCTCTTCCTGTCGAAGGGTACGAAGGAGTCAGCAACAGGTTTTCTCCTGCTGCCATTTCACATGTCGGTGCCTATGGCGCCCTGTATTTTTGCCTTCGGACTTAGAACGTTCTCTTTTGCAGACAGGATGAGATGTCCGCCTACTTAACAGGGATGTGGCATTTCCTATACAAACAGTTCATACAAAAAAGTTGACTATATCGCCACAACCGCCTCAAGAGCCGGGTATATTTGCCTCCTATTAGTGCGTAAAATAGGATTTTAGTTATGTATTCGGCACGCACCGCAGATTGAAGCAAGAAAGTATGCATACAGGTTGTCTATAAAGACCTGCATGCAAGAGGAGGGTTCAACGTCTGGGCTGGTAGACCAAGGATGTTAAAACTTTTCTTCGAGCGCTGATTCAATCAATCTAAAACTAACTCGGCGGGAACGAAGGCAGATGCACGCTGGGGATCAGTTTGGCACCCAGTTTTTCTTATAAATTTGTTTATTGTAGAATTGTATATGAATATGAGAAGAACAGCTCGTACGCCCCCTTTTCAGTCGCCTGAGTTGTAAACAGTAACTCCAGCACGGCTAAAACTTATTATCTTATTAGGGAATTTTCTGTAGACCGTAAGCTCTGGACCGCTGTCCTGTGGGCCCGTAAGCAATTCATGGTACGTGAAAGCAAAAACTCCTTCTAGCTTCCGCTAACACGGCGAGGCTCTTGCGAACGATCTTCGAAATTTCCCTAATGAATGTATGCGCTACGCCTCCGTCAGCAAATTTATGCTAGGTGAAAGCACCCACTTCCGCCTGCTTCCGCTAACACCGCAAAGCTCTTGCGAACCATCTGCAAAAGGTTCCAAATGAATGTATGCGCGAAGGCTACGTATTCCTGATGTTTCACCAAACAAGGCTCCAAATGATCTTGATGAAACCACGCATCGTACAGAAAAGCGATTGATGCAGTAGGGAAACATTTTGGAATCCAGATAGCGTTTCGTAAATTTTAGTTTCTAATTAGGCTGGCCTATAATGAACGTTTTGAATACTAAAAATAAGACATGCGTCTTTGAACTTGCTTAGCGTCATCTAAAACAACAAAATCAGCAAACTTTAAAAAGACTTAAAGCTCGTTCAAAGCGTGACGGTGAGAGAAAGTCGCGGCTTGTGCTACAGGCACAAGGCTGGAGGTGCGTAAATGCGAGTGGTAATAAGAGAAAAAATTCGATGCCGCGATTGATTTGAATGCATTATCGAGACACATAAAAAATAACGCGCGCTCTCCACGCCTTTATACAATGTATTGTTTTAGTGGAGTTTTCATTCTGAGCAGAAAAACACTTATTGAAACCAGGGCGAAGAGAAAAAAAAAAGTCAAGGTTTAGATCTCAATTGAAGTAACGATTGAAATTAAAATTGTGAGTGAAATAGTTACTTGAACTGAGATTGAAATTAATATTTATATTGAGGATAAATTTACGATTCATATAATAAATTAAATACTGATTGTAATTATGGGATCTTGCATGTCATTATTTAAAAACACATGTCCAACCCAAAAACAAAGTATGACATTTTTTATCCATTATTTAAAATGGTCGGCACTAACTGTGAAGACAGGGATATTTTTTTTCACCTCAAACAAATAATCATTAATCGTAGGGGAATAGCTTCCGTCTTTAAACAGAAACACTGGCACGCCACTAAGATCAACACAAATTCGGGTGCTGCGCTTTAGTTTTGCTTGGTGCTCTTAACTCAATATCGGTGATATGAAACCATATAGTTTATTTTAGAAATCAAAATTTAATAAATTAAAGGTAATTGATATGTTTTTATTTTTTTTCTCGCAATATAATTTAATGTTTGACAGCTAGTCAATATTAAGGTTTCAATACGATTTCTCCGCGATAGGTAGTTTTTACGAGGCTGTTCTGGGGGGCCGGGTTTCACAAACACAAATACAAAAAAAAGACGTTTGCGAAATGTAGCACGGTGAAAAACCATTAACTGCATCGAATGTCTTGACCGCATTATAATGTTACATGTTAGAGATCTTAAAGTAACGTCAATAATAATATATTACCAGAGGAATTAGTCACGAACGCGTTTTTATGAGTGCTTTAGAAGGTGTTGAGATTGCGGTAAATGTTTCAATCGATGTAATAATGAATGCAGCTGTATACGTCATAAAGTAGTTCTACAAAAATGTACAAGGAGAATAGCTGACTTCACTAAAAATACACACCCGCGGAGCGGGCAGGCATATCAAGGTTTGTAGTGTTTTTTTTAGTTTTTACAGATTTGTTGAAAAAAACAACGTAAAAGCTATATTGATGCAATCTGAGCAGGTAAGTTATACAGGCAGGTGGATATAACATAGGAGGCTTATAGTCATGATAAGTTGGCTAATTATATATAATTTGTTTATTAACGTTTATGTGGTGAAAATAAACTACGGTTTCAGTTATAAAATTTCTGAGAATCATTGAAAATTCCTAGATCCCTGAATTCTATAAAGACTTGAAGCACTTAGAAAGCACAGTCGAGCGCTAAAGTTACCCCTGGTGCGGTAGGAGCAAAGCTACCGGGGCGAGAACACGTCCGCGCGGTTTTTTCTGTTTCTTGCTCCCCGCGTTTGCTCGCTGCCAGCCTGGTTCCTGTTGCACAAGTACTCTTAGAGAACTACCGCTCTTTCCACGCGCTCAAAGTCCTTCCAAAAATAATGATTTAGCAGCTTTTTTTATGGCGCTCATCAATCTTCAAATTCGAACCTTATGTTTATTTATACTACTAAAATGTTAATTAACAGTGTTTAGTTCATTTTTCGACTTATAGTTACGATTAACCCCATATGTTATGTCTTCTTGGCCGTATAACTCACCTGCTCAGACTTCGCCATTATTGTAGTTTTAAGGCTTTTCTTAAACAAATCTGTATAGGCTAAAAAGACAGCCTGTAGAGTGATTGACATTTTAGAAAACACAAGGAGGGGTTTAATATGATAACGCTTCTATGCCACATCTCATTGTCCACGGAGCGTTAAAGAAGGCTGTCGCTTTGGGCTTCCTATACTGTCAATGACTGTACCTTTAGCTACCTTTATGCAGACAAAATTTTCTCCATCTTGTGGACAGAAACCTATTGAAAACCGCATGTATATGACTTTTTACGTAGATCAAATTCACGCGACACTGAATCCCGAGAGGGCGGTTTAATATCACAACACTAAGGCTCTGGCATATCTTACCAAGAAATGCACTCACTTTTGTTATTCGTCAACCTCACGTGCTAAACAAAACACACACACACACACAAAATTATCCGTTATTAATTGCGGAAAGAGATGACGACAAAAGCCCCTAATTGGGCTCGAAAGGGTCTTTAGGAAGTCTCGTAGTAGGGCAGTCGTTGGGGCTTCTTAATTAGCAGGTCTTCTGGAACAAACTTATCAGCCTGGCCCATCAACTTCTAATTAAAAGTGTTGGAAGTGAGAAGAGGGAGGAAATGGGTCAACTACATTACTTCACCTTGGTCCGTTAAAAGTTTGCCTCTCCATGTTCGGTACCATTTTTATTCTATTTTCTTACTCTACTGGTTTGCAGGGCAATACTTATGGAACTTTGTATATACAGTATTTGTCAGTAGGTCTTGGAACGAGCTTAAAGCTATGTGTAATGCTATAGACGATGGTGTGCAGGTAATTAAGTTTATAGGCCGCCATTTTACGTAGACGTGCATAATAGAGTTGTTGCTTTTTATTATCTTTTAGAATGCTGGACAACAATCAAATTGAAGCTATTGAACCGAATCAATTTCATCAGTTGGAAAAGCTACATATGCTGTAAGTAAGTTGTGCATTTTTATCCGTGCAACTCCCACATACTCGCCTTTAGCCATGCTACTTCTCTGAAGGTCACTGACTGGCAACAGGCTGACACGGATCACTACGAACGGGCTCTCAGGATTGACATCACTTCACATTCTGTAAATATCGTTTTGTTCAAGACTTTATTTACAGGAAAAAAATTATGAAATTGAAGTAATACTTTGTGCTTGTGTTTTCTTTTGTAGAAACCTTGCATTCAACAGGATCTCGGTCCTGGTGACTCCATTCACGGAACTGAAAAGTCTGCGCATTCTGTACGCATTACGCTAATCGCAACTATTGTTTTAGAGCTGCGCGTGTACTGGCTCAACATGATGTCGGAAAGTGCGAGCATCCTTTGCATGTGTTTCAGAAACTTGGAAGGCAACAACCTTGACGTGATACCAAACGAGACATTCTGGCCACTTGGGAACATGCAATCTCTGTGAGTAAAAGTTTGGGAACATCATCATTTGGATGTAAACCTCAGAAGAGTGGTAGACTAAGGAAAAAGTCGCAGAAGTAGCACACGTTTGCCAAATGTGCAGTTAATATTTACAGATACACTTAGCTGCAGTTCGTTTTTTTTTCTCTTTTGCATGACATTGTAAAATAAAATTTGTCTCGAATACTTTTTGAAGCTAAAACTGAATACAAAAGTTGACGAGATGAAAGAAAAATAATAAAAGAACTAACATGCGAAAAACTACCTTATGGCCTGCATAAGCATAGTGCATTACTAAAACTTGCAATACTTTCTTGTATTACGCTCCGCACATGTCTAACATTGATCGCCGCATGTTTTGTGGTGGCATGGCATGCTTAACAAAATTTAACGACGAGCGACTAAACAATTCACCTATGACATAGCCGCAGGGGGCAGAATATTAGGTATGTCGGAACCTTTTGAGGTTTTGAGCCAGTCCGCGTGAATAGGATGAACTGGTTTGGTGTAGGCTATATTCTCGCTTCATCTTTTTCATATTCATTGATATCATTTATAGAAACAGGCACAATATACATTTATTCCCCTAGCATTTCTTCGTCTGATTTAATATGCGCCAAACAAATACATCCACCAATTCATTACAGAAACAGGGACGCAAAAAAATTATGTTTATTTTTTTGTTAGTAACGTTATTCTTCACGCATATTCGTGGAACTCTGACTATGGATATGCCATATGCAACAAATCTAATTTCAAATGTTGCCGTATTTATTCGCGGCGCATTGGTATTGGGCAATAAAAACAAACATCTAAGAGAAGCTCGGTCTTTACAGGAGTCTCATAGGTCGTTCTGTTTTTTTCTTTCTTATCTTGAATATTAACTGTACCAGTTTTGTCACATCAGCCAGTTTTAGGGGTGACATTATTGCGAACAGTTCAACCGGGCATGTGTTTCTTGTGCCGCCGTTCTAAAACCGCTGAAAGAAAAAAACAAGACAAAAAAACATCACACAATATTAAAGTAATGACAAATTAAGTGTGTGTGTTATTTGTAATTAAAGATACCCGTACCTGCCCCTGCCCGTGACGACGCTTTTACTTTATATTTCAGAAACTCATTCGCACAAAATAGCAAGAGGGCAAATATTTCTGTAAAAGCATGTATCCTTCATGGTCATGTGATGCAGGAGCAATTAGCGAAATATAGCAACCCATCTAGGGCATTTTATTGTGACCTTTTTTTGAAGCCTCTAGCAAATAATTTTATTTTTAGAGCTTTAAATATACGTTGTACAATATTTCGAGTGTACGTCAAAGGCCTGCGACCGATTCTGCTAGCTATGAGAAAAGCTTTGGTCATATTTGTAGAGGGCAGCAGAGCAATTTTAATAGAATGTTTTTTAACGTCAACTTTCAGTGAAGCGAAGTATGTCAACACTGTAAATTATTGTCTGTTCAGGTTTATCAAACATTCTTACATTTGTTAAAACCTTGGATATTAAACACTTGTTCGCCATGCATAATGATCAGTAGTGTGATGACGTACGTGCCAAATTATTGATACGATTTAATGAGTATCTTTTTAAGTGCTACTACCTCGCCACCCCAAAAACCCAATACAGTCATGTTTCGTTATTACGGACCCCATTTATGTGGATATCCCGCTAATTGACACCACTTTCGGGGACAAATTTGGAAAATACATGCATGTTTGTCTCGTTATTGTGGACAACTCACGTTGTGGGCGATTTTTCTGCGGGAACGGAGGTGTCCATATTAACGATAAATGACTGTATATCTTTTCGCTATCTGGATTACGGAACTAGAAATCTCGTTGGATCCTATCTGGATTTCAGGCTTTAAGAGATCATTCCATTATCTGCGATCAGGACTTCAAGTGTCCAGTAACAATTTCTGTTAGATTTCTTGTTCCATAGTCCAGATAGCGAAAAGTGATATCGGGTTTTGGGGTAGGGCCAAAGACAATTTCAGCGTTTTTTGTCAGATGTTTTGTCGGCGTCTTATATTTCGTGGAAGAGACCTATTGCGCGCGCTCAGAACTCCTTCATGTATCCAGTAGACAAAAAACGAAAGACGTTTACAAATGTCTGTAATACGAAATTAGAGCGCAGGTCTTGAGGTATTTTGATTTCTCGATACACGCTAATAAACAATCTTAAGAAAAAAATATATTTTTTTTAAAGATTTACAGCTTTGTGTAATACAAGCCGTGAAAGTTACACTGATCCGACTTATGCAAATGATTTATACGGCCAGGGGGACATAGCATAGGGGGCTAATCGTACCAATCAGTTGGCTAATTAATTATGGTTTGTTAATTAACTTTTTAAATAATGAAAATAGACAAATGGTTCCAATTAGAAATTGCTTAGTTTCATCGAAAACCACAAAATCAGTAATTTTCATACATACTTTGAGCGCGTGAGAAGCGTAGTAGCGCACTAAAGTTACCATGCGTGGAGCAGGTACAAGGCTAGCGGTTGCGGAGCGCGGACGATTAGATTATCAGTGACAACGTACTAATATGGGCCAGTTTGTATGGTATTAATATGCGCCCTGTTCTGTTGTCTTTTTGTCCGTCCATGTTTTTCTCGGCGCTTTTCCACCTTAGATTATATTATTATCGCGTTCCGCCACTGCTAGCTCTGCGCCTGCTGCACGAGCGGTAACTTTGGTGCACCCCCGAGTTTCCCACAAGCTTCAAGTCGTTTGAAAAAGAGTTGACTTAGGGGTTTTCGATGACGCTCAGTAAGTTTCTAATTAAAACCACATGTCTATTTTTACTCATTAAAAATTTAATTAACAAATTCTAATTAATTAGCCGACTTACCGAAAATATTAGACACCCACACAGCCCCCCTGCCGTACAATTTACCTCCACCAGCCGCATAAGTCTAACTTTCTCATTTTTTTTTCTTTTTATAAATCAGTAAAGTTTAAAAAAAAAAAGTGAAAGCCGCTTACAACTCCCTGTAACGCCGAATTAGAGCGCAGCTCTTGAGGAGGAGGAGCGAAGGGCGCTGGGGGGGTTAGACTAACCAGGGGGGGGTCACGTGACCTTGGGGGGTCACGTGACCCCCAATGCTGATGTTGTCATCACTGACGTCACTGATGATGTCATCAGTGACGATGACGATGCGGGTACCGATGACGTCATTAGTGACGTCACTGATGACTTCACCAGTGATGATGACGATGACGATGCGAATGTCGGTGACGTCATCAGTGACGTCGCTGACGACGTCATCAGTGATGATGACGATGACAATGCGGATGCCGGTGACGACACCAGCGACGTCACTGATGACGTCATCAGTGATGATGACGATGACGATGCGGACGTCGGTAACGTCACCGGCATCCACATCGTCATCGTCATCATCACTGATGACGTCACCGGCATCCACATCGTCATCATCACTGATGACGGCACCGGCATCCACATCGTCATCGTCATCATCACTGATGACGTCACCGGCATCCGCATCGTCATCGTCATCATCACTGATGACGTCATCATCACTGATGACGTCACCGGCATCCACATCGTCATCGTCACTGATGACGTCATCATCATTGATGTCATCATCACTGATGACGTCACCGGCATCCACATCGTCATCGTCATCATCACTGATGACGTCACCGGCATCCACATCGTCATCGTCATCATCACTGATGACGTCACCGGCATCCGCATCGTCATCGTCGTCATTACTGATGATGACGTCATCAGTGGTGATGACGATGACGATGTGGATGCCGAGGACGTCATCAGTGTCGATGACGTCATCGGGGGATCACCTGACCTCGAGGAGAAGGTCACGTGACCTCAGGGGAGTCACGTGACCTCGAGGAGGGGGTCACGTGACCTCGGGGGGTTCACGTGCCCCCCCACGAAGTCACGTGACCCCGGTGGGGGGCTCGCGCGGTGCATTATGGGACATTTCCCATGATGCGCCGCGCGGTTACGCCGACGCCGACGGCGACGCCGACGCCGCTCAAGCCGGAAACGGGCCCCTAAGAGCTGCGCTCTAAAAAACTGTATATGTATGTACAAATTGTGGGATTTCCCTTGCTGCTACCCGTCTCGGAGAATGACACAGCACACCAGTTCAACAACACGTAAACATTTAATGACCGCTATCGCCTGCGCCGCGATCCCAACCCCCACGCGCATCCGCTGCGACGGCCTTTTATCAGCGGCGGAGCGCCGCTCGCGTGGCCAGTTGCCCTTGGCCCCCTCGTGGTCAAGATGACCACTTATGATTGTCGGAGGGGCAGCCTGGGCCAACCGCTTGGAATCGCCAGGTTGCCCACACATCTCCCCCCTTCCAAAAACAAAAACAGAGGAGGTCTTTGATGGTCTTCGGGGGTCCTTCCTTCTGGGTCAGCAAGGGTCTTCTCAGATGAGCGAGCACGGGTCCGACGTCAGTACTTCCGGACAGTACCGATGCAGCCATGGGGGGTGGTCTGATGATGGGAGCTGCGTCGCCGCTGTCTGGCACGAGGAACTAGAAATTAAAAACAACATGAGGCCATGGCGCGGTAGGAAAAAGTAGCCGCGCACACGAAAGATGCCTGTCCCACTGTGCATGCGGGAGCGCGGACCATTTCTCTTCTCCCCCCCAAAACACCGAAGAGGGCATGAAGATAATACACTTAGAATTCGTGCTACTCCCGGTCGTCTTCACCGCCGTCTCAAGTTGTACCGCGGTAGAGACTGTGTGGAATCTTCCGAGAGGTGGTCCGGATAGTCGTCATCTGGAACCTGCGACACATCTACCTCCTCGGGTTCATAGAAAGCTTTTAGGTCGGCGACATGAATAGACCCGCACACTTCACCAGATTCACAATGCACCAGCTCATAAGACAGGTTGGAGAGCTTGCTACTAACACGGTAGGGGCCATCCCACCTCTTTGCTAAAGAGGCCGTGAAGCCTCTAGCAGCATCACTCAGCGGATGAGTTCGCCTC